CGTGCATTCTCGTTATGCCCATTACCCAAGAATACCAAACATTCACATGTGAAATGACCTAGCACAACCTAACAAAACACAGCGACAACAAAACCCCAACGTGTGATGTAAGAGGATACTACCAGCTTTACACACAAGTACATCACGGTCCAGCGTCCTTTGAGTATCGTCAATATTTGTTACCCGTAGTAGCTCATTGATCGAGTGGTTTATCCAATATCAAAACACAAACACTAAACAACTGACATGTTCTAGTAGTCAACACAGGTGACCATGTAGACATCTATGACGGGCTTGCTAACTCAGGACAGAGGCCAGTGCCTCAAGCCTGGGTGTCTAAAGGTTAATAACCATTATAGACTAAAAACATGTTACTGAATATTACAGGTAACCCCAATTGAAGGTTCAATGAACAGTTGCTAAAATGTGATAGCTACTGCGCGAAATGTATCGAATCCTGCTTCAGTGATTGGTGTTGACTCCCCTCCACCATGTCGCTGTCAATTGTACACACGGGGTTTGTAGTACAAGTCTTCTATTTGACTTCTGTTCTGTCTGTTTTCTGAACTTAATTATATTAATCATACAAAAAGACGTTAAAATATGGTACTTGTTGGTCCCTGCCTGGCGCTCGGCATTCATGGGTACAACAAGGACTGGTCGGCTCGGAGTCAGTATAATGTGTCTGGAGGGGGTATTCATGCTTCACTGCTGCATGGTATCTCAGTGGGCTAGCACTATAAAACCAGCCTAATGTAGCAAGCAGCCGTACATGGCCACACATACACACGCATGCACGTCGTCATATGAGCGAAATGTTCTCAAGTACGACGTAAAACCCACTCACCTCAACACACCTCTGAACTTAATTGTAAGTGACAGAATGGGTAAACAATTTAGTAACAACTCAAGGCTGTTTGTCTGGGAGTTGTTCTATATTCACATCTCGATACACTGATGCATGGAATTAGTTATCCAGTGATGCTTGGTCTTCGTGGACACAATATTTATCAATCTCTGAGACAGTATATCTAAATTCCTTATTATGTTTTAATTTTAGCAGCTAGACTTCAGTGTATATGGCAAGTCCTAAGATAGTCAGATGTACGTGACCATGCATGTCGTGTCCGATGCAGTTGTGCTGCATGGTGAACTATCAACGTCGAATCTGTTCATGAGTATCCTCGAATCAGTATATATAATGCACTTGAAAATTACAAAGATTGCTTAATTGTTAACGTACTCCCAGATGTGTATTTAGCGCTATGGGAAATCGCAAGATGTTCATACATGCCTACAAATATGTGTCGCCACTAAAAGGACTTTTACCTTGAGCCATGTTTCAGTGACAAAAATATATTAAGTTTATTGATAATGTCTGTCAAAATTGTATTCATATATATTAATTTACGGGTTTTCTTTGTACATGTATATGGACATGTACAGTGTATTCATGTTTTGGGTGCTTCCTATGTTTGTGTTTTGCATTTGTTGCCATTGGTTACACTGACGGTGTGGTGGGCCGTCTCGCTAGTCCAGCCTCGAGGCGGTAATGTTCTAGTAGGACTCCACAGTGTTGACAAACATTTACCCGCATTTCAGTGAACATAACGACCTCTACTGGTAATGGTGTAACTGCTATAGCTCCTATATCCGAGCTGAAAACATTATCTTGTTAGAAAGCCCTTTGAAATGCGGTTCTAGCAATGTATTTTAACAAGGTGAACTTTGTGTGAACCAATAATTTCTTATTGATCCTCGTATGTAAATATTCTCTTTGGCGCTGTGGAATATGTTCCTATATATTATGTGAACAGTGTTATAGCATATAATTATAACAGCTAGACGTAAACACTTCATATCTTTTAAGGAAATCATAAACGCACTTCATGGACAAAATATTTTGCACATATACTTATTGCGTACATAACGACAAGCATTGGCGAACTGTCTATGCATCAAAAGTATGTAGCTCTTGCAGAATATTTGACACAAGTTCAAAGTGCCACAGGTTAATAGTTTGACATTTTATTGAACTAATGATCACAGCATACCACAAGATAATATCGGAAGAAAGCATTATTTCAAATCCATACGGCAGAGCCCTGAAAACTAAGGGATGCAACTCTGTAAACATGCCTTCAGCATAGAGAGAATGAACGAATGCGGAAACCTAAAGTGCTTTTACGGTCGCTTCGCAACACATATTTAAATAATGAGGGGAATTGAACACCTCTCAACAAAATGGTAAGAGAAACACTCGAATCTGCAGTGAGACCTAAAAATATTCGAAACAATTCGACGATATTTGATTCGGACGATAAGTATACCGGACCAAGTCGAACAATTATATACGTGCTGATGTATGGACGTTTGTTTCGCTATTTCAAAGTAACAATCATTTTCCCCATTCCCAACATACGTGACTTTGACGTAGCCTTCAAAGGATATGAAGGAGTGAGTGAGTGAGTTTAGTTTTACGCCGCACTCAGCAATATTCCAGCTATATGGCGGCGGTCTGTAAATAATCGAGTCTGGACCAGACAATCCAGTGATCAACAGCATGAGCATCGATCTGCGCAATTGGGAACCGATGACATGTGTCAACCAAGTCAGCGAAACTGACCACCCGATCCCGTTAGTCGCCTCTTACGACAAGATAGTCGCCTTGTTATGGCAAGCACATGGGTTGCTGAAGACCTATTCTACCCCGGATCTTCACGGGTCGGATATGAAGGAAGACGTTGCAGTTGGGATGTGAAGGTCGTCCATCATGTGTTTGTGTCCGTCTTTGGGATGACCTCTTCTGCACACTGGACAAACGTCTCACTGCGAATCTCGATCTTGCAGTTTGTTGTCCCATCGAATATCCATGTCTATACTTAGCATATGTCAAAGTATTGGTCTGTCAACTTGAGAAAGGAAATTTATTAGGTTATGATAGAGCGGCATCGTTATTGGTTTCATTCAGGGATATTGCCACGCACCTGCCACGCACTCTACCCCTCTCTCGCCCATTCAGTTCTGTAATAAATGTTTACGTGTGTTTGTGTCAGGCGGTATGATGAACTTCATTTCCAGAGATTGACAAAGACCAAACCCAGCTGTTTGACGGCAGTGTTCTTATCTTATCAGTGGTAGCAGTGGCTTAAATAAAATATCTCAACCGGCATGTCCGGCAAGTGTACGTGAAGACCATGGTACATCAGTACACATTGTTCACCCTCAGAAAGTCTGATGGGTTTTGTAGAAACCAGCAACTACAGAGCTACTATCTATATGGTTGTCACTATACTAGCGTTCCGTGAACCACAGGTGATAGTTGTCCGCATAGCGTTCTGAGGACTATGCCAACACATTATAGGCCAGAGAACACCTGGCCTGCTGACATGTTCTGTTGTCACGTAGCTCATTTGGACACAGATACGCTAACCAGGACAGTGTACTGGTCACACTGTGGGGTATATTTTTCTTTCTTAACTTGTGTAAAAGTCCTTTGATTTTTGCTTGGTCATCTGAATCCACAGTTGACTATGATCTCTTTACTTGTGTCACGATCGTTTCACTGTGTCGACTTATATTCCTCATTCTGACACTTCTGTTCTGTTGAGAACCTTTCCTTTCACCTCATTCTCTCGTTACACTGACATGAATTGATTCACATTGCTTATAATCTGTCATGGAATATAGCATAATGTTTCAGTGGTAATCTATCCATGATTCGCCACAGTTCCAAAACCTAATGTAACATCGGCTCAAATATCCCAACAGAAGTCCCAGAAGACATTAAACGCATCATCTGCCTGGTCTTATCTCCAACATTAAACCAACCATGTACAAACATGTGTAATCATACTCTGCACTAAAGACTATTTGACAATAACTACACCCATTGTGAGAAACCCTAGGCGGTAGAAAATGGCTTCCGTGAAATGGCCATTTACGAAAGGGTATTCATTCGTAAATAAATTATTAATAATTCTATACCTGTCAAACTCGGAACACTCTCTGTTGTAAACATAATGTATCTATCTTAATCAAATGAAGTGCAAAAGTCTTCTTTAACAATGACAATTATTCTGTAAGGAATACTCATTCACTCCAAGCAACGTTGATAATAATTCCCATTGATTAGAGATGTTTTTGATGTTTTACAAGTCAAGACCTTAGAACAGCTCAGCTAAGGTGTTGTGTCTGGGGCGCCGAGCACTATGTAAAAAGCGTTTCATCAGTTTCAATGAAGGTCAGGTGATACTCCCCAAATTTCCTGTACGGAACGCATGACTATTTGAGGTAGGCGGCTAACGTTGAGCAGGATATGGTCACAGTATGGTGAACACCCGCCATCATCAGTGGTTCATTAAGACAGGTTATATAGTCGTCATCGCACAGTAAACAGTGCTGTAAGCAGATGTATTGTATGACTGTGGAAAGGGATATGTTGATCGTTACACCATAATCCTCAAAAGAGTGTTGTACTGGTGAGTGTTACACATTATACATTCATTTTATCGTAATCCCCCAGATAGTGTGCATACATATAGGTGCGTGTTTATCCATCCATTAAGCAAATCAATTCGGATTCATATATTGAAATAACTTAACATCGATAAACTTCGTGGACTCGATTATTTACGGGCAAACGTTAATTACCTTGTGCGTTTTTTAGTGAAACGTAAACAAAGAGACATTCAGGCTTTTACTTAAACTATCCCAAGGCATCGACTATACAGATGATTGATTAACGGAACGCATCTCAATTTGCAGTTTTCGGGATAAAAGACAAAATGATGCAGGTTGAATGGTGAGGACTCGGTTTTAAACCAGCAACGTTCCATCAATATCGCTGCAGCACACCGGAAGTGAGCTTCAGACTTTCAACCAATGTCTGGAATGAAGGCAGAAACGTGTTCACCGCGGTTATACTATCCGATCACTTGAACATGGTAGGGATACATGGTTAAATGATTTTGCGGAAGACAAAGGCAAGACAATACCAATACAACATGTGGATTTATTGGTATTCAAACACGATTACATAGTCCCAATGTATTTCCCGAATCCAAGCAACCTGATGACGTAGGTGTAGGCTTCAGATGACCAGAAGGGGAAGAATTCTCCGTTGTTGTTGTAGCCGTGGAAGACGGTTGGGTGTGAAGTTTCTCCATCATTTCTTTGTACTCGTCCTCGGGGATGAACCCTTCTACTCCTTGGATAAACTTTCGTTGCGAATCTCTGTCCTATTTATTTTCGTCCCATTGAATAACTCAAGTCTGTTCATCGGGTAATCGAATCCGACTGTCTGTAATGACAAATGTTACGAATGTGCATGTTTGTGGAATAACATCATCATGTGTTATAAGATAGTGTGATGCGATGTACAAGTATTAGACTGCTATACATCGTTACTGATTCAGTAAGGGGCAGTTATGGGCTGTATTCAAACATGTTCTCGATTTAGAGAGAATGATCAGGAAGGAGCTGTAATAAGCTTATTCCTGAGCTGTCTGCCTTAGCGTGGAAATTGATAGCATAACTTTGTCCGGTATATAAAGGGAATTAACTCCTGCCTCTCAACTTACGCTTCATCGCAAGTCACCAGAACACAGGACATAGTGTGTGATGATCCAACCCTACCTTGGCCTGGTTGCAAGTTGATTATATCTGTATTTCTACAATCACTGCTCTTGTATTATATTATCTTTGATTTTGAACGGCCACAGTGATGACTTTGTTTAGATTTGAACTGAGCTTTGAAAGTAGTTAATTTTGAAATACAGTGTAAATTACATCATATTTTCATGTTGGTTTCACACCCAATACTTAAACCTTTTAGTAATAATTTGATTCCAAAGTGTATCTATAAAGTAGCTTTTGTCTCATCTGTCTGTATAAACAAATCTGCAGATCCTAAGCGTCCCCTGAGAGGTATCGACTCAATTTTGATACCTTGAAGTGTCCCATTCTTTTAGAAAGTTATAAAATGTCAGATCCAATAACAATTTAATGGCCACTTTGTGTGCCCAGTTACTTGATGCCTGCCACCAAACGAAATAAGAAATACAGATTGACATATGGTGAGGCCGCAGCTGTAAAAATACCAAATTGTTTACTGACTGTAGAGCCTTTGAATGATCCTGAGAATACAGCGTTCCATGGCAACAGAGGTTGCATCCCGTTGATGTTGTAGTACATCCACGTGACCGTCAGGTTGGCAGCCCTCTTGACATCCACAGGAGTATCTGGGACATAGACATGGAAGCGACGATAGTATGATGGTCCGTGTTCCAGTGTCTGTACATGAACCAACATTTGAAGTCTCGAGTGTTCTATTGACTCGTTTAAAACAAACTTTAGCATCCGTTGGTCAATAATATTACGACAAGCGTTCTAAAGTTTGAATGCCAAATATTCAATAAGTGTATCACCTAAAGCCTAACGTAGGAACTGTTTTGCCGTGTGTCATGCCAAGATCATATTTATGCGTTATTCCTCATGTGAGTGACAATGGATGACAATGGATGACAATGTTAAATACTTTTGCTATTTTTGAATTGATCGCAATGGCGGTCAAACCATCTCATGAGTCCCCCATGCCAAATCCTGACTGTATTTGCCCTTACCCTGAAAAGGTTAATAATATAAATTCAGAAATGACCAACCACCTAACTATTCAGAGATGAGGAAGCGCCCAAATGTGACATATCAAGCTCTTACCTGGATCCCAGATCATGTTCCCTGTGTGCTGGTCTTGCGTCGTCCAGATGGTCAGCAGAGCTGTCAAGGCCATCGACGTGGTGAATATACGATCTTCAGGATCGGGCTACAGTATATCAAATATTATACAACATGATGCATGGGTTTCAGCCAAAAGGGATGAGGTTAGCAATCAAGTTCTCAGTTTCTCTCTCAACGTATGCTTTCCCTTCGCCAACATCAATATAAATTCTCAATTGTAACATGAAAACAGCATGATAGATAGTATGCATCGACAAAGGAGATTTACTGTAGGGTTAGCAGTCAACAAACTGTTTTAAAATCTGTTTGTTTACACAGCATTAATCCCTATGGGTCAAAAACGTATGTTTGCTCTTCCCAAGCCTAAATACAAACCTCCTCTATCGTACCTCAAAATAAATTCATTGTGGTATAAAGTTTCATAAAGAAAGAAAATAATAAATGGTACAGTGAAGATTAATCAATTACTAAAGAATGGAGGCACCAAGCCAGCGCTCCTCAAGTCGTGCCAGTGCTGTGGTCATGACTCCATGTTGTTTGTTCCAAGGTGATAGGGACTTTGGCACACTAACGTTAGTATCACCAGGAAAGTTAGTGTGAGATTAGAATTCCCATATTTCCTGTTTACCAGGATCATGATGCCTTCAAATAAAACTGTGTTTCTATACCAAGAGAGGAATTACGATGGAGATGTTCCACAAAAGTCTTCTTTGAGAACAAACGGTTATGTAAATGACGTCAGAGTCATAACACCGCCAATCGCAACAAATGTTCCCAGATATGACCAAAACGTACGTCAGGTTTGTTGTCGTAGTCTGTATCCGCATCACCGAGGAAGTCGTCGAAGTATAGAGTGGATAGGTTATACATCGAGGACGGTGTTCCCAGGGCTAGGAGCCGGGGACTTGCGTACCTTCTCAACACGTCCTTAAAGTCCGCCAGAACCTGGTTCATGCCCTGCAACGTAATACACAATTTAGTTGAAGAAGTGGATGTGGCGATTGCTCTTCCTGTATTCACTTGATATCAATAAAGTATGTAACAAACGCACACACACACACACACACACACACACGCACGCACACAACACACACGTACACACACACACGCACGCACACACACGCACGCACACACACACGCACACACACACACGCACATATATATATACATATCCTAAACATGTTCTGATCATCAGTTAGGTACCGAACTTTATCTTAAAGGTCACATGCAACTTAAAACACAACTTTGCAGATTCTGATACCTTTCGGTATGGACTTACCGAAACAAATCGTCAAAAATGCAAATTCAACTTATAAAGTTGAAAAATAACGCGATGAAATAAACCGCGCGAAATCGGAGTTCAAACGTTTCACTAATTTTCCCCCGACTTTTCTGGGGAAAACGGGTTTCAACAGCTGGGCTGCGCTCATAGCACGTGCGCAGTGAAATAGGTTCGCGCAGCTTGGAAGCGGGTTGTCCGGTGAATACTCGGTGAAGGCTTTGGTGTGAGCTATTTTTCTAATGTTTTGTTGATATCTCACATGCGCGAGCTTCGTTTATATGTTATACCAGTAGATTACCGATTTAACTGTTTATATAATTTGATTTGTCTATTTCACCACACGTTCTTCTTACCGAGTCACTTTCTCAGTTCGATACTTAAAAGCAATGTCATTATTTAGCGTTGACACAATTTCTAACTGTGATATAGATATGTCGTTGTCACAGACAAAACTCAATGTCTTGTTTTATTGACACCTGTGTGTCTGTCTGCCTGTCTGCTAATGACAATATTCAATACACAGCTGTTATCACTGACCACATGCAATTTGAACTTAACACCAATCAGGCTATACACCATAAACAAAATGCATTGATTTATGGCCCGAGTTCGGTCTCAGTCACATTATGTGATTACACAGACAGGCAGGTGTGATAGTTGAACACTTGACATGTTATGATGTCTGTTGATTGCAAAATGTTATACACAAAAATGAGCATGTATTTACAAAACCCAACATCTCTATATATACACACACGCAATAAGCCGCGAGGGCATCTGCAAATGACCAGCCGTTACACTTGAGTGCACACCCACCCGCTCTGACTGGGTCTGGTATCCCGGCTGCTTCTGTTTCTTGGGAAGTAAACCGAAGTACACAATATTGCACTTTGATTTGCGATTGTACGCTTATAATTTTGTTTATATGTTTTTCATAACCAGCAATGTATATTATATGTCACGAATAAGTGATAATTGTGTTTTAATTATGTTTGATTTTTGGTTGCATGTGACCTTTAACCATGCCATACAACCATTACCATTTCAGATGCCATACAGGAACAAATAGTACAATAGTTCACGGATGAGAGTGAGCACCAAGGATATATAACGTTTAAGCTTACCACGTTTGATTGTTATTATTTCAGTGAGGCATACAGAGATTTGGAAGTGAATGGCTTAAGTAACGTTTTGACAGCCACTGACAACACCTTTTATGAGGCAGAGATCCCGTCCTGTCCAGGGTTTCCTGGAGTTTGTTGTACGTCCTGGCCACAAACCAGTAGAACTCAATGACAGAGGGGTAGTACGTCAACGCCAGGGTCTGCCTCGGTCAGAGAAGTTGGTCTGACTTGAAAGCGATCATCCTGGCGGTGTCGTTGTAGATGTTCTGGAAATAGAAAGTAGGGCGTTGTGTGAACAAACTACTTAAACGCTTCCACAATGTTAAACCTCATAATCCTCAAATGACGAGCGACATACAAGGAGCCGCTCTAGGGACGAGTTAAACATTCCCATTCCACAAAATGCAAACGAGGGTCATTTGTAACATATCTTAAATATTTCATATCTGAAATTTCGCAATGAACTCTGTATGCTTGGTTGATACAGCATGTCAAGATGGATGTAAAAGTTTCCCTGTGAACATACTATCGGGAGTACATTTAATTAGAATCTGAAACTTGTTAACGACCATTTTCTTCGTCATCGTGACCACAAAGTATCTCGTGTGTGTACGTGAAGGCACAGTAGGCACAAATCATGGATGCAGGTTGTTGCAACATAAGATTCTGTAGGAAATATATTTTCATGTATTTTGAAAATATTGACAATATGATAGGCGACATGATATTGCCAAGGCTAAATTGTCAAGCAGAAATATTTCTAGAGGTGAGGTTCAAGGCCTCCCTTCCTAATTGGGGTAAAGGGAATAATTTTGGAGCACTTATGATTTAGAATTTGTTCCCCAGTCAGGTTGGAAGTTATTGTCATACTACGAAACATCATATTGCGATATACGTAAATATATGCGATGACGTCCTTTCCATAATCATAAGAACATTTGCTGAAATAAAAATACATTGTACAATCACGTCATTTGCACTTCGGTCCATTAATCCAATAGTATATGTAACTAGTTGCAATACAGCGTGGCGTGTTACGCTGCAGACGTGCGCGAGGTGCGTGTCCTGTAAGAATAAAAGAATCAAATTTTCACAACCATTGAAAACACATTACCATTATGTCAGGGTCATCTAATATCGATGGTTCGAAGAGGCCATTAATGATTCCATTCGTGACGCCAAATAGGAAGTTGGCATTGACACAGTGACGTCAATGTTGTTGACGTTGAACGGCATCATGACTTTGTCGTACCAGGTGCGTACCTCGTCAGTGTCCTGCACCTGTACAGGTATAGACGTAACTACTGGGTAAGCTACTTGTTGGAAGAAGGAAAACAGAATCGTCAAATACTTTCTTTCAAACATCTGAATGCATTTTACCAACCTGACCAACAGTTGTTTGTTCTGGATGTATGGATGCAATTCCAGTTTGTAAATATCCTATCAGTGAGAAACGGAATTGCAGGAAGTCAGCCTCGAGGTTCCCTCTCCCGTCACAATGTGATGACTGTTTAAATATAATGTTGGAGATACTTTCAGTCACCGATATGTTTTGCGTAAATGATAATAAAATATAAGCGACTAAATCCTTTCCACGCAACAGACATATCTATAGAAAGTAGAGGAGATTGTACAGTTCCGACTACTTCGGGAGTGAGTGAGTGAGTTTAGCTTTTACGCCGCACTCCAACAATATTCCAGCTGTAAGGCGGCTCTGTGGTAAATAATGAGTCTGACCAGACAATCCAGTGAACAACAGCATTAGCATCGATATATGCAATTGGGATACGATGACATGTGTCAATCCAAGCCAGCGTTTCCCTGACTTCAATTGATCCAGTCAGTCGCCTCTTTACGACAAGCATGGGTTACTGAAGACCAATTCTAACCCGGACCTTCACGTGTCGACTCACTTCAGGAGCATGTGCCTGAATTACTATTATGCAATGAACGGGCGATCCTGTCGGTTACAAAAGTGACATGCGATGCTTGATATAAGGATAATGATTGTACCCTCAAACTTTGTGAACATATCTGTAGACGCTAAAGGCTAAAGCTGGTGGAGGCAATTGATAGAGGAACTGAAAGTTCACCATTACGTATACATTGTTAACTTCACCCCCTTTGTCCCACGACCGCCTCCGTGGTGTAGTGTGAGTTAGAGCTAGTCCGCCCGGAGAGCGGGAAGGTCGCGGGTTCGATTATTCGACCGCGTCATACCAAAAGACGTTAAAATATGGTACTTTTGGTCCCTGCCTGGCGCTCGGCATTAATGGGTACAACAAGCACTGGTCGGCTCGGAGTCAGTATAATGTGTCTAAGTGGGGTATTCATGCTTCACTGCGGCATGGTATCTCAGTGGGCTAGCACTATAAAACCAGCTTCAGTCTGGGCTAGTACAAGCAGTTTCGCACATATTAATGAGACAGGCATGCACGTCGTCATATGAGCGAAATATTCTCAAGTACGACGTAAATCCAATTTCACCTCACACCTCACCCTTTGTCCCACGGCCTTGTAGAGCGCATTTGACAGTCTGATACATCTAAATATGAAACATATGAAGCGATCTCCCTGGTCGTGTACATTTCAAGCTACGATGGGGAAGTCTTACCTTCAAGCAATATTTTGTATTGACTGTATTATCAAAGAAAACATGTTTCCATTTGAACAAAATGCGCTTGGTTGAGGCATATATTTATGCTATCCGTTGTTATTATATTTAGTACATACTCGAATAGTCATATATCTATCATTCACTGTTTTAGATTAAATTGGGCAATCTCTACTTGCATATTGTTATGCCTGCCCAGTACTAATCATTAATGTACGTGAACTCTTTTTTTACATTGTGATGTTTTGGCCTTTCTCAGGTTCACATCGATAAACAGCTTTCAGCAGATCATTATACTTTGCGTAATATATGGTAACGACATTTATGATAGGCCCACATTTAGATGCATGAGATATAACATCATCATATTGTAAAAAGGTACGTGGGCAACAGTGTGAGAAATAGTTTCCAAATTATGCTAGCCAGTCGGACAAGCCCCACAAAAAATAACTTCACTCAGCCCACATTTGAATGTAGACACGGTTGATATCATTAAGTTGCCAATATGATGAAACATATGTTTATGAGGCCATAAACTTTCATGATTTATAACTATATTATACCTGAACAAGTCGGAGAGAGTGACATATTTTCTAAATGACCCCATGAAAATTCACTCAGCCAGTCAGGCAAGAGATTTACTGGCCCTTAACTGAATTTTACTTCAGCCACGGGCTAGCGGGTCAGTGACTATTTCTGCACACTGCGTGGCAATCTGTAACATAGCAGGCCAAGCATTTTCAACCAGAATTGTTTTCTTGAGCATTGATTAATAGCTAAAAAATAACCGTCTAAATTATCATATTGTACCGCTGGTTGTGGTGACGCATTAAACAACATTTAATTTGCAGTTTGAATATGGCTTTGTGGTTTCGTGTCTATATGAGACGTCCTACTACTGCTAAAAGTCACTATTTTATATGGATGCCAACACAAGTTTCAGTCCACCGTTGCCTATACAAGAAAGCAATTGCTTGATAAATTGAGGGGCGGTGGGTAGCCAAGTGGTTAAAGCGTTGGCTCGTCACGTCGAAGACCCGGGTTCGAATCCTCACTACGGGTACTCATATGTGAAGCCCTTTCTGGTGTCCCCCGCCGTGATGTTGCTGGAATATTGCTAAAAAGCAGCGTAAAACCAAACTCAGTCAGCCAGTTGATAAATTGATGACCCCTGATCCTTGTTTTAATCCTACCAAAACCAAGGAGCCAGTTCTGTGACGTTTCAAGTCACTAAAATGATGAGAGTTGTTATCCAGCGAGAGAACGCCCCATGGGTAAGCATACTCACCCACGTTGGCACAAGAGCGACATCACGTCCGGCAGCCTTCTCCTGCCTCTAACCACGCCCTTGAGGAAGTAGTAGCTCCTGGGGTCTATAGTGTTGACACGCTGGTTTCCGGGAAAACGGTCTTCGAGCAAAGTAAACAGGATTAGTTAATAATAATAATAATGTCCATTTGTATGGCGCCGTTTCCACACACTAGTGTATGCTCAAGGCGCCCCGTGTGTACAGCTAAAAACAACTGCAGGAATTGTGCAAGTCATTCGTAATATTTCCTGAAAAGATGGGTCTTCAATGAAGATTTGAATAAGTCAAGAGATTTTGTTGTTTTGATGGTTATGGGAAGACTGTTCCACAGTGAAGGAGCAGCATAGCTGAATGATCTGTGACCATAGTTCTTGAAATTGACAGGGGTGTTGTTAGGAGGAACTGTTGGTGTGATCTCAGCTGTCGCGGCGGTGTGTACACTGAGATGAGTCTTCAGAGAGGTACTGAGGCGCTTAGGTCATGGTAGACATTGGAACACAATGGTCAAGATCTTGAATTCGATTCTGGCTTGGATGGGCAAACCAGTGAAGAGACTTTAGGACAGGGGTTATGTGGAGATCTTTTAGATGTTAGGGATACAATGCGGGCTGCAACGTTTTGGACTTTCTGGAGTTTTGTCAAGTGTGCAGAGCTGAGTCCAAACAGAATGCTGCCGTTTGAATAGTCTAGTCTAGATAGAACGAGGGACCTGACGAGTATGGGCTGCATCTGTTGTTAAATTCATGACGAATGTTACTGATAGCCTAGGTAGGCCAGCAAAGCAGATTCTTGAAATATGGTTGATCTGGAGCATCAAGAGATAGGTCCTGGTCTGTGAACACTCCAAGATCTTTCACGGATGAAGCTAGAGTAATTTCTGCATCAGCTATTGTGATTTTTCAGTCGTGATTTTGTCTCAGATTTATTGCTTACTACTTACGCTATAGCTTCTTGGTCTTATCATCGTTCATTTTTGGAGCATCATAGATGACATCCAGATTTTCGATGGACTTCGTGTGCAGATAGCTGTCTCTAGGGAATGTTGAATCTGATCCAGAGCATAAAGAGTCTACTTCAGCTGAGTATCGTCAGCAAACGAATGATGAGGAGTGTCATACTTGTCGGAAAATGTCGGTCAAGGGATGTCAGTGTAAAGGAGGAAGAGGATGGGTCCCAGAACAGATCCTGCGGAACCCACATGTGAGATCTGCTAAGGTTGTGGATGAAGACTGCTTTATCAAGACTCTTTGAGTGCGTCCTGTCAGATATGATGAAAACCATCCCAATGCCAAACTGGTGATGCCCCATTTGGTGTTCAAGGAAGCTTGAGGAGGATGCTGTGGATCAATCGTGTCGAATGCTGCACTCAAAGTCTAGCAATACAAGTGGATCCAACATTGCCACTGTCTACTGAGCATCTGAGGTCATTGAGCACCCTCAGAGAACTGTTTCTGTGCTGTGTCTGGGCCGGTAGGCGATTGAAACTTGTCAAATAGTCGATTCTGAGGTCAGGTGATAATGACAGTCTGATGTAAACCTGCTCTTCAACTGGAACTTTAGAGATGAAGTTAAGGCTGGAGACAGGTCGGGAAATTTTTCAGTACATTAGTAGTACTGGGCTTGTCCTTCTTTAGCGATGGTCTGACAACTGCTTTTTGAAAACCTCTGGAAATATGCCAGACTGTAAGCTAACATTGACAATCTGGGTGATGACAGGTAGCAAGACATCCATGTTTTCTAGGAGAAGTTTACAAGGCAGTGGATCCAGAGGGCATGTAGTTTTCTTTGCAGATTTGATGACTGATTAGTTCAACTCGGCTGATTCTTGAGAATGGTTCAAAGCATGAGAGTTGATGTCCATTGAATTGTTTTGTTTCCAATGAACTGTAGAACATTTCCTCAAGTTAAATTCTTCTCGAATAGAACTGATTTTCTCTCAAGGAAGAATATGTTGAACTTGTTGGCTAGATCAGCTTCATGTTGATGATCTGGCAATCTGGTGATTTTATGAGTTCCCTGGAGAGACTTCCAAGAAAGTATGGTGATTTCTGCTGTTTCCGCTATGTTCTTTAATTTTGTCTTTTGAGTATTTACGTTTGGCTTTGTTTCATCAGGTAGGCTGTTTTATTTCGTGCTTGCTTGAAGATTTGTCTGTGGATTTCGAGACCAGACTCCTCCACCTTTCTTCAGTTTGGCGTCGCCTGACTTGGACTTTTGACTTCTTCATTGTAATTGTGGACTTTTGGTCTTAAAATTACATTCTTTCTATGCATGGTGCATGTTTATCTAAAACCGATTTAAGGCCAGTTATGAAATGTTCACTCAAAATGTTGACGTTAGGAGGAATCGATGACAACCTGCATTACGCAAATCGGTTTGGAATGCATCCCCGTCCATGCCCTTGATGTTTCGGACAGGTTATTGTCTTGGTCTGATTTGGAGGACGTTCCATGTTTACTTCTACTCTTACGAAGTAGTGGTCTGACATCTGTCTGTCTTCCACTGTGACTGCATTTCTTACTTTGAGGTGCGGGTCCGACTCAGGGGTGACAATCCAGTCAAGCATATGTCCTGACTTATGGGTTGGATCAGTGATATGCTGTCTGAGTGAATGCTGTTTCAGGAGTCGAGGACGACTTTGTTTACCTCTCGACTTCCGAATTTTCAGCAATGTTATTATTGGAAGTCACCGATAAACATGGTTTTAAGTTTGTCACATTTTGAAAAGAGTGTGGATAGATCCTCGTGAAAGTCACTGAGAGTTAGCTTGCTTTTCCGATATTGAGGAGGTCGGTAAAGGCAGATTACTCTGAGCGAGGGTGAGAAACTTGTTATGAGAATATCCAAACGTTCAGCGATTCTTTGTATACTTCATTCTGATTCAAAACTTGAACTGTCAATGCATCTCTGTGGACTATTGCCACGCCGCCGCCGCAAGCTGCCTGTAGATTTCTGAATGTTAAAATGCTGAACTGGGAGTAATTTCTTAAGTGCGATTTTGGCTTCCGCCACCACTTTCCGAAAACCGACATCCAGTGATGAAAATACCGTCTAAATTATCATCCGTGATTGTATCAGCACTCTCTAATTTGCCTATTCCCCGAGCGAATTCGAGCATTCCAAAGTTGTTTCATCTTGAGATCACTCGGTCGAGCTTCGATTGTTAGATTCCGATAAGCAACCTACCGCTCTAAATTAGAACCCGTTTACCAAGTCTACTTTGAAGGCATTGATCAAGCCTCGGCTTTAGAATACTCAGTAAGTATTTCTACACGTCAAAAGGACCATCCCATTGGACACAGTTGCCGCTATAGGTTAGACCGGCGGGCGTAAATAATATTAATGCTGATCTAGCTCGAATTCCAGTGCAGAATGATTACCGGGTCAGGAATATTTTATATCTTTACGATAGGGAATTCTACAATTTCTACAATCCGGCCGATTTCCTGTTGCTGTCATTATTTGTCGGGAGATATTGCTAAAATCAATATAAAAACTTGACATCTCTCACCGGAAATACATTTGAGATTTTGCAGAAATGAATAAGAATTCATTTCAGTATTTATTGAGTTTGGATTAATGGGTATATAAGATATTGACTCAACTAGCATAATATATGTATTTACAAGTGGACATTTTAGTTTCAGGTCGCGGCAAGCATGTACGAGACAATGCGTTTAACTATCAATACACGTGAAGTTTAGTTATTACGTGCTTCATATCCATGCATTTTACCGTAACTTCGAGTTTCACCAGTCTCCACCGTAGGCGTAGTACTTGAGAGAGCGCCGAACACTTGAGGTGAGGTTGGTGTTGTGGGACAACTATAGCTTGAATCGCCTCAGGTATTTACCTCTTGTGGCATTTCGCAAGGATCGAACCTAGCCGATGTTGAGTAAATCGTGTCATCGAAACTGAGGGTCGTGGAACGCCAGCGTGTAGATCGCCTCTTCGAAGATTTCCTCGAAACATTCATAAGAACAAACTGTCCGTTATTAACACACTTTTCTTTTCACGATAATGAATAGATTTCATACAATTCTTAAGGTGGATCTAGTGTTTGCTGGTCATCACCTATGCTTTGATGCGGAGATGGTATGTTCTTACATGTACACACTGCTACCAAGAACTTTAGCACTTCTTCCAATAGTTTGTCCTAAAACCACGTCCAACTTCTGATCCGCCGTTGTAAACAGACTGAACAGACGCTGATAAGTTTAGATTTGAATTCAGATGAGTAGTGAGTGAGCTTTAGTTTTTACGCCGCACTTCCAGTAGTATTCCAGCTATATAGCGGCGGTCTGTAAATAATCGAGTTTGGACCAGACACTCCAGTGATAAAAACAACATGAGCATCAGGATCTGCGCAATTGGGAACCGATTATGGCGTCAATTCAAGCCAGCGAGCCTGACCTTCATCCGATCCCGGTAGTCGCCTCTTACGACAAAGCATGGGGCATTGAAGATCAATATTCTAACCCGGACCTCCATAATGGGTATCAGATGAGGAACCTCCAGCAAAGCAGTAATCGGACAATGGTATATGACTTCATCCAGATTAAAACTCCAACTTGCTGGTGATAATACTGAAATGAATTATTTACTGACACCGAGCGATTTTACATGTAAAATGGTGAACAATATTTACGTCTCAACGCGGGATGGCTATATCACAATATGAGTGGAAGTATTGTAGAAGCTGTTTCTTATACATAAAACATGTACCTTTTATAATTTCATGAGCTCGTGGACGATTTTAATCCACATTCTTGAGTCCAAGTCTTTCGAGGAAAGCGTAGGGTTGCATTTAGAGGCAAGTTCTCTGTCGTAATCCTGATAGCGTCATTGAGGTTCACAGGGTAGCTGTTATAAGCCTTGGTGTCGTCGTTGTACGTCTGAGGCCAGAAGGTCATTAAAGAATTGGAATAGTTTACATTCAAATCATGATGACGTTTGATGGCATTGATACAACATTCGTCAGGCGCACATCATCAGCCGTGCTATTTATATACCACGGCTTGTCCAAAGATCGTCTCTGCCTCAGCCAAACATGCGGTGATGTATACATCGCGAAATACATTATTGTCGAAGATGCTGAAAATTTGTCTGAAAAGCGCATAATCAGGGTCACCATGGAAATTCATCTTGACGTCACTCGGCCATATGCCCTGCTCTTCGTCCCATTGAATGGTGGGAACGCATGGCTTTGTTTTGGGGATCTGCAGGTCGCGAACATCATACAAATGAAAGTTCAGCTGTTATCAAATAAGTCTGCCTTAGCTATTGAGCTGGATACAATAGCACGGCGATCCCGGCTTACGCAGAAAAATATAGTAAAAGAATTCCCTCACAACCATAGCAGCAGGTTCAGCTGGAACATGTAAAATGGTACCAAAGTCCATTAACAGCTGTTTATATAGATCTTCTTTATCTTATCGCGGTCGGTGTGGATTCCAACGACTTTTAGGTATTGATATTCATACGTAATGACCTCAGTGGGCATGGAATATCTTTTGGGTTTTTTCAAATGTATTCTATCTGAAATAGCTTGATTGCACTTATGCGGATATGTTGCTATTGATGTTCACAATGAAAAACACAGAAAAAGGTTTAGTTGGAAATATACCACAAACATGCTCACAACCATTTTACGCTTTTGTTTAAATCCCAGCTTCTGGCCTTTGGCGTCCAACTTCACAACCGGAAATAACATCATTGGACCATGTTGATGAATAGGGACGTGGAGATTGATTCCATCTCTCCACGCAGGTGAAAGCCCCTATATCTCAGTTGGTGGATTCATTATGACGCAGGTGCATTCCATAGTCCACGCAGGAAATAGGTAAAATTGCTCTTACAGCAACACTGGATACGCTCCCCATACTATACTATATGCCTCGCGGCGGGTCAGCGGATGGGTGGTGGTTCATTCATGGATCATTAATATTATACACATCTGCTAACACAGTAAACACTACGTATATGTAACTGCCACTCATCTTGATGTCGCTATATATTTCCATACACAAGAATATGACTTAGATTTCAACGAACACCCTAATTAGTTTCCTTTGTTCATCCGTTATGACGTAGGCTTCCCAGTTGTAAGGTGTTTTATATACGGTAAACAGACAGATTTAGAAAAGAATCATTACTCCCCTTGTCGGAATTCAAGTATTACCAAGGCTTTACTCGTTTACAAATTAAATTATCTTTCTTGACACTCCCTAACCCTGGTCATGTTATTTGCATCGTTTTTGACTGGGAAACCAGATAAGATTGTTAACTCTTGTATGTGAGCTTGTGAAGCAGGTTGGGCTTGGTATGGTTGAGGTTGTTTCCTGTGTAAAAATCATTGAAGCTAAATTTGATATGAAACTGTTTGACGTAAATGAATCCTCACTTTTGTCGTTTTGGTAAATTTAGCAATGCTTTTCCAGCTAAAGCATTACAAAAGTCAACAATGTATTTAGGTTGGATTCTTGGAAGGATTTGCCTTTGATAAGTTCTCAAGGAAAATAAAGGCCTGAATTATGTGATGGCATTATAACGGAACCTGACACTTACAAGCAAAATACATCACCATTAGTAAAGAGATTATGTTGAATTATTTATAAATCCTGAAGGAAAACTACGTCACTTGAACAATTCGAATACACTTTAGAACGTGATGTCAACCTATCAAGCGGATGCAAAATCAGGCTACAAAGAAATACCAGGGTAAGTTGAAATGTGTAAACCCGCATCTTTTGTCCTTCTTGGATGGATTATCATCCAGTTGTCAGGGAACCGCTATCAGTTAAGAAATGTACAAAGTGTTAATATCATGCATGTGGTACCTTCATCTTTACATTTACACATATGGGAGGAATGTGTTCTAAATTAAAGTGGTGGAAATATATTTTAGTAAAATCACTTTAAGACTACTTTAGATACTAAATTGAGATGGTTTCAGTTCAGAATTATTCACTGGATTTTAACGCCTAACTCATTTTTATATAAAATCAGCATAACTGATAGTAATTTATGTTTATTTTATCAGTGTGAAGGTGGATCAATAACCAATTGATTTTGGGAGTGTAAAGTTCAATGCTTCTGGCAATCACCATTAAGCCTGGCTTATGAAAAAGTGCCAACATATCTGTTATTTAGGGGTAACTGTACTGTGTTTGACGAATTGGGGACGTATCCCGTTGGTTATATAGGCGCAAATTTAGTTATATCGGCGAGTTATCCCTCTATCTCTAATTCTAACTCTTTTACGCTGTTTTTCGTGAAAGAAATTCAATATTTAAACCAGGTCAAAGTTCCTCTTAGGTCAGCTAAGTTAATCATATCAATTCTCGCCAGAAAAAGTAGTTCACTTTTCAAACTTAAACACGTATTATAAAAGCACAATTGATTAATCTGACAATAATGACCATTATCAGGTGTAGTTTGTAAATGACGTCACAACGGGTGACGTCACACCCATAATCTTGTTACATGATCAAACAGTGTTGGGTCAACCGCCCGTTGGTGAGTTGTTTCCAGTAAACTTACAATTAGATTTTATGATACTGTTTTGTCTTTTCGACACAAATTCCATCTATTTTAGCGGAATAGGGAGTTAACATATCTAGGGCTTCTGCAAATGATAATGCCCTGAAAACAGCGTTACACCAATTGTGTAGGGATACATTTAAAAGGTTTTGGTGAAAGGGTTTTCAAATTGCGACCGTATATGCTGTTATACGGTCGGAATTTATAGCATTGACCAATCAGAACTCGTGTTTCATACTAAATTGAATTAGAATTGAAATTTGCCCTTCCACGAAAGGAAATGTATATGCTGACAACCCTAAATTGCAATCACTTTAAACATTATGCCCACAACAGCCACACATCATTGAGAGAAATATTACTTATATCAAAAGTCAACAAGTTTATGTTCTTTTCCAAGTGGATGCTGTATCATGAGATAGAGAGAGAGAGAGTTTATTGACAGTATGGGGCCACTGGGCCCATTATACATACAGAAGATACAGTGTATTACACCACCAAGCGCCTGCGACACATACATATACACACATGGGCACTAATATATACATATATATATATACATACATATACATACATACACACATATACGCATATATATATATCATTCATGCAATGACAGGAAACGTGCTCGTAGCTTTGAACGCTAAGAATACATACTTTGCAAGCAATGATAACACATGGACATTTTTACTTCTATATCAACTGTTTAAATTTGTTTTCCGAAGGGAATGTATGATAATAAGCAGGAATAATAGCCTCGTCTCAATCCATCATAAAATGGGCATACTAAACAAAGTGATATTCTGATTCAATATTTCTAACCACACCGATAATGACATAACCTAGCTCTTCCTAAGCTAAACCTAGTTTCCTACCTTGTTCAATTAATAATATATGACTGGAGCAGCGGGAGGATGAAAGGGCAATACAGTAAACTTTCACTGGTAAAACACGAGAATTAAAGTTCAAAAATTTGCGTCATGTTTTATATAGAACGGTACAGAGTTAGTTTATTATACTTACGGAGGGCTTCCGAACCAACGTTGTTTATCGATATCTATACATCTTTGTTTGAAAACACGAAATAAAATGGTTTATAATGCCTACATCCTGATTTATCCACACTTCCCCGAATCCATATAGTGAAACAATAATGATTTGACTTCTAATGCCCAACAACTCAAGCCCTTGTTTGCTAGAGACAACTGGTAAGAATATGCTTTCTTTAGAATAACATTATCTCTTTGATACAACAGTCTTACCCAAAACTTTACAATCCTTATGTAACAATTGACTTTAATTGAATGCCGTCCTAGATTCACCACGTGTACAATATTTGGTACTGATCTACCTTAAAACAGTAGCACATCTTTACCAGAAACGATCATGAACTCTTTCCACATCGGGTATTGAGTGAAAACCCCACACCTCGCAAACCATAGATAAGAACTGGCATGATGTTGGCATCAAATATGTGGCATAGCATATGAATTGCAAGTTACGGTAAGCTATTTCTTACTTTAGACTTCAAACACTGAATAACCTTTGGTGGCTTGGAGAGCTAATGTTTTCTGAGCAATCTACTAATGACCCAGAACTTAAGTAAACACCTGAGGTATTTATAAGTAGTGGACAATGTCTAGGTTCGACCACTGAAAGAAAAATTTATAAAGCTTAAGTCTTCCTTTTTCTGGAAATCACTACTACCGACTTTGGCTTTTGTCTATATTAACTAATAGCGCCACTTGTCACAATAATT